ACCAAATTCATCGAGATAAAATTTTTGATTTGCTTGACATTTTTTATTGAGTAAAATTAGGGGACGAAGCTTAGTCAGGTAGAAAATTCATGATTGTTTTATTTTTAGAATTTTTTTTTTTTTGAACCATCGTTATGTATGGTCTTAAATTCTTTATTATATATACATTGAATTTGTTATTGAAATTTATTTTAGGTTTGTATTAATTTGTAATTTCATTTATAAAAAAAAATATTCCGAAATTTGTGATTTTACAAAAATAGAAACGTCTGAACGACAAACTAGTTATTATTATTATTACATTATTATCTAAACTAAACAAATTTTGAATTCTGGACTTGACGAATTTCCTCGACATTTTTTTTTTTAACAATGTAAAAACATTATTATTTATATTATAATATCCACACACGAATATATCCATAAAAAATTTTTTAATCAAAACGAAAAAATATAAGTTTCCAAAATTTTCATTTATTGTTTTTCTATTTCCATTTTAATATACATCACAACGGATGCATTGAGATGGTGTTGGGATGCAAAATTCCCTTTTAATTGTGATTTAAAGTTCACATCGACTATATTTTCACATACAAACAGGGTCATGTAGGATCCTTTCCACCAATCAAATTTTTTTGTACATAAACGAAGAGAAAAAACGCGATTTTATTTTCATGTTGCTATACCAATGTTTGATTACTTTTGTGTATTTTGTAACTTCGTTATTGTTGTTTATCCTAAGAGGAGGATGAGTAATCATTTATTTCGGAACGTTTGATAAGCAATGTGATTTTTTCTTTGCTATTATCATTATGAAAAGTTGCACAAATTAAATATTTAGCCCGATATAATTTTTAGAATTAATGTATGCATATGCAAAGGGAAATCATGAAATTCCAATTTTATTCGAATTCGTTATGGAATTCCACCAAAGTAACATTATTTAAATATAAATTAAATATCGGAGCATTCAGCTTGGAAACGGTTTTCATTATTCAATTTTGGTCTTTATTCTTCTTCTCAAAAAGAATCATACTAATACAAAAATTTACTCAATAAATATGATTACAAACTTTGCATAATGTTGAGTGTTGGATATAAGTCATAAATATTTAGATCAAATTTTTATTTACTATAGTGCTTTTTTACCACGGAAATTGTATTTTCATTATTATTATGAAATGTTATTTGTTCATAATTTAATTCTATCATGTTACAAAGAAATGTTCTACAAACTTAATCAAAACATTTTTAAAATTAAAAAACCTTAACTGTATGATGATAAACTAGAAATTAATTAATTAAATTGATTTTAACAATCGAAATCTTAAAACGTTTATTTTGTGTTAATGAAAACTGGTTTTTGGTATGGGCGTATATGTGAATTTTATTGTTTGGAAGTCATTGACTTTCTTGGTATTTTAATAAGTTTAGTGTAATATTGTTCAAAAAACCGTTCGAGCCGTTTAAACCGGTTCCATGAAACCAAACCATCCCCAAACGTAACAATGCTGATTTTTTTGTTAATTATTTTTTTTAAATTTTCATTAGTAAGCGTCTAGAATATATGATGAAAATACATTACTGTGGTATTATAGATGGACCATTCTCCAAGCTCGACCCATTTTTCAGAATTAAAAAACCTCATCTGTACGATGATTTATAACTGTTTATGTTTTCTTTGACAACCCTTTTAAAGTGGTTACACATGTCTTTAATATTACAAGTCCTATATTTACTGTATATCTGTTGATTTTTTTATTTTGATATTTCTATTACTAATTTATAATAATACAAGGATTACAACTGGGAAAAAATCTGATCCTTGTTAACTTCCAAATATGTTCAATAATAAAATAAATAACTGATGGTACGCGGCATAATAAAATAAATGAGGTTAATATTTTGATTATCGAATAGATTATACATTTTTAAAAATATCGGATGAATCAGATTTCAATTTAAGTAGAAAAATTTTTTTTTTTATATATTTAATGTAAAAATTTTTTTAATATGATTTGATTTCCCGATTACAACTCACATAAACATTGCTCTTCAGATAATAAGTCGAGAACTTACAATAGATTTCTTAGATTGGACAATAAAAAGGCTTTGAAAACTAACAAATTTGACGAATTATGGAACGCAATAATTATTGGCTTCATTGTCTTCAAAATAAACCATTTAAAAACGAAATTGATGAATGACAAGGATGAAAAGGATGTGAACAAATTTTAATTAGATTCGTTATTGTATTCGGTGTCTTTTAAATATTATTGTCTGTTGTAAAATAAAAATAAAAATTTACAAATTGGCTGGTTGTTTCCTCTTTGTCTCCTAGTAAGAATGATATTTCAAGCTTGAAGAGATAAAAATGGAAATTATTCTAATAATGTAAAATAAGACAATGACTCTATTTAATTTCTTACTGGAAATCATTTATAAATAAAAATTGATTTTTTAGCTTAGAAATAGATGAGTAGATATGCATTCGGTTTTTTATTTTTTATGTCGTACAAATGGTTAACTGCATTTTAACGTTAATTTTATTTATATGTATGTTTAAGCGAGGGACAAAATTTTTTCTGTATATTATTTGCTTAATAATTACTGAATAGGGATTGATTTTTTTGGAACTAATTTATTCATTTTTGTATTAATTGATGTGATATTCCAGAAATTGGCCAACTACCCCTCAGATTTATGTAAAAGATGAATAATAGTAAAATTATTGGTTCGAAGAATAGATTGAATGGATTTTTATTTTTTAAAAATAAACGCAATAGTTCTCTAAAAAGAATGCGAATGGTAACAAACACCATTATATTATATTGTATTGTATAATTAACTTCTTCAAATAACAATCATTAGGCATGATGTTAGTGCTGATCCATTTATTTTAACATATATTAAATTCATTACACATATAGAAATATTTTAAAATTAGAATTATAAACAAACATTAATATTATATGCACAGCGATTTCCGAAATTCCAAAAATTTTTAAATAAAAAACTTAGGGGCTTATATTTTTTTTCATTTTGATTAATGTGAATATTAATAATATTAAATGATGTTTTTCTCAAATAAAGAGTCAAGGAATTCTCCGAGTCAAGTAATTCAAATTTGGTTGGAATGATAATATAATATACTGGTACTGAGTAAAAAATATTTGCTATAGAATGCCTGAGTGAACTATTTTTGTAAAATCGAAATTTCGGAATATTTTTTATAACTAAACCTAAAATAAGCAATAAATAAATTAAACGTATATATAAAGAATTCAATGCAAGAAATGATTTTTCATAAAAAATTCGAAAAATAAAAAAATCATGAACTCTCTACCTAATGAGATAATCGAACTTATTCTCATATATATTCCTAAGCCTCGTCCCCTAATTTTACTCAATAAAAAATGGTATGGAATATCAAGCAAACCAATAATTCGTGCCAAATGGTTGATACAAAATTACGGAAAAGCAAACTCCTTATTCCACGCGATCCGACTCGGGGAGAATTTTATCTCAATGGAATTGGTCATTTTTCTCATCAAAGAAAAAGTAATTTTATCCAGATACCTTGTACAACGATTGGTTTTACAATTTGGAAAAACAGATAATAGTATAATTGAATTAAAAATCAAAAATGATGTCACTACCATTATCAATAATAATAATAATAATAATAATAATAATAATAATAATAATAATAATAATAATAATAATAATAATAATAATA